ACTCTTTCCATTCCTTAAAGGCTTCTACAGGTTTTGGCAAATTCACATTATCCTCATGACTATGTTTTGCAGGGAGGTGTGTCAGCAGATTCATCTTCAATCTACCTCACCAGCGCTTTGTACCCTTCCATAGTGTTACAACCAATAGCATGCTGTAACTTGTGTAAACAGATAGGGTAAAGGTTTAGGGGACACTGGTCAGCTTTTTCCAAATCTTTGGAACTTTGCATTAGATGTTCAAGCCACTGGCAGTGTTAAGGTCCAAATATGTGTCCAACCTCATGGGTTAAAGTCTTATAGGATCAAAGTGGCAAAACACTAGTCATTTCAGGAATGTAATAGTTATCAAAAATTGAATAGTCGTTTGAAGGTGTTCTCTGCATCTTCTTTACCTTGCCTTCATAAGATAAACTACAAAAAAAACGCCAGGGCTTCCCTGGTGGCGCAGTGGTTGAGAGTTCGCCTGCCGATACAGGGAACACGGGTTCGTGCCCCAGTCGGGAAGATCCCGCATGCCGCGGAGCAGCTGGGTCCGTGAGCCATGGCCGCTGAGCCTGCGTGTCCGGAGCCTGTGCTCCGCAACGGGAGAGGCCATAACAGTGAGAGGCCCGCGTACCGCAAAAACAACAACAACAACAAAAACAAACAAAAAAACCCCGCCATACCTGACAAGGCTGAATGTCCCCATACCATCTGTTAAAGAGGGCTGTCCAAAGGCAAAATTCCAGGGAATCTCTTGGGTAATGCTCAATCAGTGTTATTCCCACAACACAGAAGGCATCTTTAGGTTTCTAATTTTTTAGAACTTCAGGGTGTGCCCTGCATGAATTTGTAGGTTTTGTATGTTATCACTGACTCTAAAAGAACACCTTGCAGAGACAGGAACTGGTTCTAGGAGCTTTACTGTCAAGCCACAGAAAAATGCTTCACAGTAGCCCTTGAGTCATTTAACATATTCTTCACTGATAACTCTGGTGTTTCCTAGAGATCCAATGCATTGTATATAAATACTGAATTTCTCTGGAGAGGGTGTCTTTCTGTAAGGATCACTGAAAAACTTTTCAAAAGTCTTGGGGAGCCTCAGGATGGCAGGTATCCAATCTGATCACAAATGCAAGATGGGTCCAAAGGTATCACCCTCTGGCTGGAAGGCTTCATTTATCAAAAGCTGTTCCACCAGCACCTAACTTTTACTGTGACACAAGTGCTGGGTTCTTAAGATGAGAGCTGTTTTTAGTGTCTGTTTAGAGTTCCATACAGTTTGCATAACGAACGGTCTCTTCCATTCACATCGTGTTCCTATGTAGAGCTTTCATTTTTCTGTTTGAATGGGTTAAACAGCTGTTTCACCATGAGGCTTAAAAGGACCAGCATGTCTGGGGCCTGACTGCAAAAGCATTGTGCTGGGTACCTTCATCCCCGACAGGCCTCCAAGACACCAGCTGCAGCCCCTGTGCGAGTGTCCATACTAGGTGTTTTTATATGATGCATATAAAATATTAATACCAGATATTAAACAGCAATACTAGAACCAATTTTTACAATTCATTTTATGTACTATTGCTTATAAATAATTTCAGGATGCTTATAAAACTAAAAGTAAAAAATTGGATGATTAAAATAAAAGTAGAAATTCAGACCATGTAATAAAAGCATACTGGAAAAAAAAAAAGAAAAAAAAAAGAAAAAAAAAAACCATACTGAGTAGTTCCTGACAAATACTTGAGATGGACCAATTATTACTGATGGTCACTAAGTTGACCAGCTAATATCAAATAATTATGCTGAACTCATCAGCATTCTCATTTGTCTCTAAAGACCAAAGGTTGTAATCTCTTGGCCTGAGGACTGGATTCAGCTTGCAAATGTGTTTTGTTTGGCAGACAATGTTTTCAAAGAGACTTGACTCTAAATGCATTTAAACAAGACATGGTGACCACAAACCCAACTTATCCCTCACAAAGATGTTACCAAACTCCCTAGAAATGAGTTTAATATAAATGTATTTGCAACCATTGCCATAAGGAAAAATGCTTTATTAGAACTTCATAGGTAATTTATTCAGATCTTAAACATAAATTCTGGATATATTCAAATATAGTTTTTAAAAAGACAAGAAATGCTATTCTAATGGGTGACACTGTCCATTTCTATAAAGGCTCAGGACACATGGATAGATAAAAAGTACTGTACTGCCTCTCTAACTTACTATCAGAGCAAATGTTGAAAATTACAACACATTAATAGATCTACATCACATGAAACGTCTTATATTGGTTATTAAATACCTCCAGTTAGTTTTGGCAAGCGCTATTTTATAACCAATGATACAATGATAATGATGTGCCAGGCTCCGGTGTAAGAACTTTAACTACACTAATTCATTTAATCCTCAACACAGTTTTATGAAATAGATAGCATTATTATATCCATTTTAGTTAAAGATGTTAAGTTAGTTGCCCAAGGTTACATAAGTGTCAAGTAATGAGCTGAGATTTAGAACCAGGATGCCTGGCTAAAGAATTCAAGCTCTTAACCCCACAGAATATTAGTTCACTGGATATGAAGCAAAAGTTATACGTCTAGGATACCAGAAATGGAAGACCACATGTATTACTCTATAATGAACATTTAAGAGCTAGACTTATACTTTGTTCAGATAGATCAACACACTTTAGCAGGGGGTAACAGAACAAATTAAATTTTTATTTACCTCTAGATGATAAGCTTCTTTGACAGATTCTACTTCTGCTGACAATTTCTTGATTTCTGCTTGCATTTTTGCTTCTAACTGAGCTTCACGTACTTGAGAAGCCCCCAATTCTTCAGCTAAATGTTTTCCATGAGCTTCCTTAAAATGACATATTAAGTAAAGGTTACATTACTTGTTTATTTGGTTATTATAGCTAAACAACTCAGCACATTTATAGAAGTATCTTAATCTTTTATAATACTATATACTCATATACAGTTACCATATTAAATGTACACTTTAAAAAATGTATTAATCTAGATTTTAATCTAGATCTTTAAGAGAGTACTAATGGGAAAGTATCAGTATATTGTTTGTTATCATAATATAATAGAAGTTCACTAACCAATGTGTTTTGTAAAATAAACTAATAACCACAGAACACTGAACTTTGGCAGATAATAGTCTGCTTTTAGGTATGGGTATGCATTTTTGCTCACCAGATGTGCTGTTTGCTTATCTACAGTCAGTTGTGTATTTATCCAGACCTATTTATGCTAGTTGTGTTTGTGACTACAATATGTAATTTTATTATACATTATGAACATTGATGAAATATGCATGTAAAATGAATGTTTTTATATGAAAACTAAGTTATATGCTTTGAGACAATTCAATGAGTGAGTCACAAACATTTGCTACCCAATTAGAACCAGTCAGGATAGTTGTAAAATATTGTGTGAAATCCGATAAAAAATATAAGAGATGCTATCCTCTGACTGATTCACAAATGTCTTTCAATTCTTTTTCCATTTTAAGAAACTAAAATTGGAAACTATAGATGATGGAATATGAGTATGGTTTATGCAAGAAAGACTAGGTGGAATTTTAATCAAGTGACCCTACCATACACCAAAAACCAAGACTTGGTCCAACATTAAAAGATTAATGCATGAATGTAAACTTAGATTTTTGGGTTAAAATATAATACTTAAAGTGTCATTTTTTTAAATAAATGTATTTATTTTTTTTATTTATTATTTTTGGCTGGATTGGGTCTTCGTTGCTGCACGGGCTTTCTCTAGTTGCGGCGAGCGGGGGCTACTCTTCATTGTGGTGCGCGGGCTTCTCACTGTGGTGGCTTCTCTTGTTGCGGAGCACGGGCTCTAGTCACGCAGGCTTCAGTAGTTGAGGCACGGGGGCTCAGGAGTTGTGGCGCACGGGCCTAGTTGCTCTGCAGCATGTGGGATCTTCCTGGACCAGGGCTTGTACCTGTGTGCCCTGCGTTGGCAGGCGGATTCTTAACCACTGCGCCACCAGGGGAGCCCTGTGTCTTCGTTTATGCATGTGGGCTGTCTTTAGCTGCGTCAAGCGTGGGCTACTCTTGGTTGCATTGCACGTGTTTCTCATTGCGGTGGCTTTTCTTGTTGTGGAGCACTGGCTCTAGGTGTGTGGGCTTCAGTAGTTGTGGCACATGGGCTTCAGTAGTTGTGGCTTGTAGGCTCTAGAGAACAGGCTCAGTAGTTGTGATGCACGCGCTTAGTTGCTCCACAGCATGTGGGATCTTCCAGGACCAGGGCTCGAACCCATGTCCCCTGCATCGGCAGGCGGATTCTTAACCACTGCGCCACCAAGGAAAGCCTAAAATGTCATTTTTAATAATTCCCCACTTTCACTTACTTATTTAACTGAGCTTAGTTTATCAGATAAAATCAATTATACTACATTTAGATACTATTGATAAGGACAGAAATGAGATAAAAGTAGATAGCCTCCCTTTTCCTAGTAGACTCCCATGTGCCCGACATTCTAGTAAAAATTCCCTGTTTATTTTTTATTAGTCTAACCATAACCACCCAGAAATGTGAATAAAAATGTCATTAGATTAACCAAGGCTAAATGTAAAAACATTTTCACTCAATTCCCATACTGAATTAGTAACCATAATAGAAAGCAGAAAAATCACAAGAATTTTTCTAGAATACGAATAAATACATTTTTCTCGAAGTCTAAGTAATTAACTCACATATATCAATCTAAATATTTTTAAGCCAAGTTGTTAACTTTCTATCTAATACTAGGGAAATACAATCTATATTAGTGCTCTTGCTATTTAAAAGCTCTTTTCCTCCCCAAGGGTTCTGGACTGCAGGTTTCTAACAGTTATAAATTTAGATAGTCAGTTTTCATATATGAATGGCTACAAATGTAAAAAGTTTTTACTAAAAAAGATTTATTACAGACTTCCCTGGTGGTCCAGTGGTAAAGAATCCGCCTTACAATGCAGGGGACGTGGGTTCGATTCCTGGTCAGGGAACTAAGAGCCCACATGCTGCGGGGCAACTAAGCCAGTGTGCCACAATTCCTGAGCTCGCGTGCCTCAACTAGGGCCCGCGTGCCGCAAGCTACAGAACCCATGTGCCCTGGAGCCCAAGCGCCACAACTACCGAGCCCACGCACCCTGGAGCCTGCATGCCACAACTAGAGAGAAGCCCACGCGCTGCAACAAAGAGCCTGTGTGCCGCAATGAAAGATCCCACATGCCTCAATGAAGATCCCGTGTGCTGCAACTAAGACACAATGCAGCCAAAAATAAATTAAATAAAATAAATAAATAATGAATAAATCTTTTAAAAAAGATTAGATTTATTTTTTTGTTTGAGTGATAGCTCAAATTCACTTGCAAGTCTGAAAGTGATTTATAACTCATTTTATTGAAAACTAATTAGTTTGACTAATACTCAGTTCTGAGAGACTTCCAAGTTACACTACAATGCTGTGCTAAATATAAGTTTTTTTTTAAATTTGGGTAAAATACACATAAAATTTACCACCTTAATCATTTCTAAGTGCAAAATTTGGTGGCATTAAATACATTCACATTGTTGTGGAACACAATTAACTTTTGTAAGAACTATATTCTATAGTCGAAAAAATAAAGGTTAAAAATTTTAGTATTTTCAGTAAGGTGAAATTAGAATAGGGATTACTTTCTCTTTAGAGAGTTGCTTTATTTCCTCCAGTTCACTTGACAGCCTTTCTACTTCTCTCTGTGCTTGGACTTGTTGACGATGAGCCTCCACCAATTCTGTATGAGAGTTCTGCATCTGCTCCCGAGATAGCCTCAATTCTTGCTCCAAATCTATGGCCTCCTTGTACTGAGTTGCAATGTACTGTTCCTGCTCTTTCATAACCTGAAATGCACAAGATATTTGTAGGTTTCAAAATAAAATGATACAGATAACCTATTCTTACTCTGATTTCTCTTTTAATAAATGACTTACCCCCTCCCAACTAAACCTCTATATAATTTAACATATAATGAATATCATCCACTGTGAAACTAACATTCGAAAATGTTTTCCTTTTTAATGATAAAAAAATGACAAAAGTACTGTAATAAATCTGGGACTCACTGGTATATTTTACATGACTTTAATATGCAAGCTGCATAATCCTTTAACATTATGATGCAACAACACAGAATATATAATAATATAAAGAGAAGAAAGATGTTAATATTTGATTATCCATGTCAAAGATGGAGAATATACTGGCATGAATAATCAAAACCTACCATTAACCCACACAGCTTGGTTAAGGATGATCTTATTCTTTGCAAAAGGGAAATTTGTTATTGGGACTACTACTCCTTACATTCCTCAGTTAAATCCCTAGTAAAGTATTATTTCTTAGAGAAAAAAAAAAATCAGTAAAAAGTAAATTAGTTCTAAATTGGCTCAGTGAGGTAGATTAGATGGTAGATGGTAGATAATGACGCTTGACTTTAGGGCTGATAAGAAGGAAAGAAACCAGTACAAATCACTAGGACCCTAATGTCTAGAATGGGGGCCTAAGGTCCAACAGTGTTGTATATCAGTATAAATCTCATGTAAATATTTTTAGCCAGCCCTTGTTAGGGAACATGAAATGATTGAGCCAGTAACCTTTCTTTTTTTCTCACTGGGGCCCAAACTTGGTCTCAGAGACCCTGCTTAGTTTATGTATTGATATATAATCCAACAAATATTTATTCATGCTTACTATGTGATATGTACTATTCTAGGTGTTGAGGATAAAGGAGTGAACAGAGGAGACAAAGTGGCTACCCTTGTGGAGTTTATATTCAACTGGAAGAGACAGCTAATCAATTAATCAAACACAATAAAGAGCTGTATATTGATATTAAGTTTTAAAGTTGAGTCTAGTATTTAAGAACAAAAAAAAGTTACATCCATGAGAGCTCTTAGAAACAAACTCACTTTTAAAAAAAGGCAAGTGGGTGGAATGAGTTCAGTAGTCAACACACATGCAAACTGATGATATGAAGTCATCAAACTTTATCTGGCAACTCAATGTACTTGGCCTCAATAAAATACAACTATCTGTTAATTCATTCTCTGGATAGAGTCCCTCAAGGACAAAGGAGTGCATCCTATTAATATCTGATCTTCAGTTCTATCACATAGTAGGTTCTCAATTAAAACATACATATATTATTGATCAAGTGAGCATATATCATGGATTTACTATGTGAGAGATATCATGCGAATGCCTATAAGGAATATAAAGACATAAGATGATAACCTCACCTATAATCAGAACATCAGAATAAAGTAATTAATAAGATAAGGAAAATAATAGGTATCTGGCACAAATAATTAGCCTAAAAATACTTATGGCACAGTTTCTGTGCATACTAAATACCAATCACATACTAAAACCAATCAGTTTAAAATATAAAGATTTTAGACGAGGGGAAGATGGTGGAAGAGTAAGACGCGGAGATCACCTTCCTCCACACAGATACACCAGAAATACATCTACATGTGGAACAACTCCTACAGAACACCTACTGAACGCTGGCAGAAGACCTCAGACCTCCCAAAAGGCAAGAAACTCCCCACGTACCTGGGTAGGGCAAAAGAAAAAAGAAAAAACAGAGACAAAAGAATAGGGACGGGACCTGCACCAGTGGGAAGGAGCTGTGAAGGAGGAAAGGTTTCCACACACTAGGAAGCCCCTTCGCAGGCGGAGACTGCCGTTGGCGGAGGGGGACGCTTCGGAGCCGCGGTGCAGAGCGCAGCAACAGGGGTGTGGAGGGCAAAGCAGCAAGATTCCCGCAAACAGGATCGGTGCCGGCCCGAGAGGCTTGTCTGCTCACCCGCCGGGGCGGGCGGGGCTGGGAGCTGAGGCTCGGGCTTCGGTCAGACCGCAGGGAGAGGACTGGGGTTGGCGGTGTGAACACAGCCTGCAGGGGTCTAGTGCACCATGGCTAGCCGGCAGGGAGTCCGGGGAAAAGTCTGGACCTAGCATAGAGGCAAGAGACTTTTTCTTCCCTCTTTGTTTCCTGGTGCGCGAGGACACGGGATTAAGAGCGCTGCTAAAAGGAGCTCCAGAGACGGGCTCGAGCCACAGCTAAAAGCGCAGACCACACTGACCTGCATGAGACGCTAAGGCTGCTGCTGCCGCCACCAAGAAGCCTGTGTGCGTGCACAGGTCACCATCCACACTCCCCTTCCGGGGCGCCTGTGCAGCCCGCCACTGCCAGGGTCCCGGGATCCAGGAACAACTTGCCAGGGAGAACGCACGGCACGCCTCAGGCTGGTTCAACATTACTCTGGCCTCTGCAGCCGCAGGCCCGCCCCGCACTCCGTGCCCCTCCCTCCCCCTGGCCTGAGTGAGCCAGAGCCCCTGACTCAGCGGCTCCTTTAACCCCGTCCTGTCTGAGCGAAGAACAGACGCCCTCCGGCGACCTACACGCAGAGCCACGCTGAGGGGGGGGCCAAATCCAAAGCTGAGCCCCTAGGGAGCTGTGAGAACAAAGAAGAGAAAGGGAAATCTCTCCCAGCAGCCTCAGAAGCAGCGGATTAAAGCTCCACAATCAACTTTGATGTACCCTGCATCTGTGGAATACATGAATAAACAACAAATCATCCCATTTTGAGGAGGTGGACTATGAGAGCAAGATTTATGATTTTTTTCCCCCTTTCCTCTTTTTGTTAGTGTGTATGTGTATGCGTCTGTGTGAGATTTTGTCTGTATAGCTTTGCTTCCACCATTTGTCCTAGGGTTCTATCTGTCCATTTTTTTTCTTAATAATTATTTTTTATTTTAATAACTTTATTATATTTTAAATTACTTTATTTTATTTTACTTTATCTTCTTTTATTCCGTCCTTCCCTCCCTCCTTCCTTCCTCCCTCCCTCCCTCCCTCCTTTCTTTCTTTCTCTCTCTCTCTCTTTCTACTTCTACTAATTCTTTCTTTCTACTTTTTCTCCCTTTTATTCTGAGCCGTGTGGATGAAAGGCTCTTGGTGCTGCAGCCGGGAGTCAGTGCTGTGCCTCTGAGGTGGGAGAGCCAACTTCAGGACACTGGTCCACAAGAGACCTCCCAGCTCCACATAATATCAAACGGCGAAAATCTCCCAATGATCTCCATCTCAACACCAGCACCCAGCTTCACTCAACAACCAGCAAGTTACAGTGCTGGACACCCTATACCAAACAACTAGCAAGACAAGAACACAATCCCCCCCATTAGCAGAGAGGCTGCCTAAAATCATAAGTCCACAGACACCCCAAAACACACCACCAGACGTGGACCTTCCCACCAGAAAGACAAGATCCAGCCTCATCCACCAAAACACAGGCACTAGCCCCCTCCACCAGGAAGCCTACACAACCCACTGAACCAACCTTAGCCACTGGGGACAGACACCAAAAACAACGGGAACTACAAACCTGCAGCCTGCAAAAAGGAGACCCCACACTCAGTAAGATAAGCAAAATGAGAAGACAGAAAAACACATAGCAGATGAAGGAGCAAGATAAAAACCCAACAGACCTAACAAATGAAGAGGAAATAGGCAGTCTACCCGAAAGAGAATTCAGAATAATGAGAGTAAAGATGATCCAAAATCTTGGAAATAGAAGAGATAAAATGCAAGAAACATTTAACAAGGAACTTGAAGAACTAAAGATGAAACAAACAACGATGACAACACAATAAGAAATAAAGATGAAACAGACAATGATGAACAACACAATAAATGAAATGAAAAATACTCTAGATGGGATCAATAGCAGAATAAATGAGGCAGAAGAACGGATAAGTGACCTGGAAGATAAAATAGTGGAAATAACTACTGCAGAGCAGAATAAAGAAAAAAGAATGAAAAGAACTGAGGACAGTCTCAGAGACCTCTGGGACAACATTAAACGCACCAACATTCGAATTATAGGGGTTCCAGAAGAAGAAGAGAAAAAGAAAGGGACTGAGAAAATATTTGAAGAGATTATAGTTGAAAACTTCCCTAATATGGGAAAGGAAATCGTTAATCAAGTCCAGGAAGCACAGAGAGTCCCATACAGGATAAATTCAAGGAGAAATACGCCAAGACACATATTAATCAAACTGTCAAAAACTAAATACAAAGAAAGCATATTAAAAGCAGCAAGGGAAAAACAACAAATAACACACAAGGGAATCCCCATAAGGTTAACAGCTGATCTCTCAGCAGAAACTCTACAAGCCAGAAGGGAGTGGCAGGACATACTGAAAGTGATGAAGGAGAAAAACCTGCAACCAAGATTACTCTACCCAGCAAGGATCTCATTCAGATTTGATGGAGAAATTAAAACCTTTACAGACAAGCAAAAGCTGAGAGAGTTCAGCACCACCAAACCAGCTTTACAACAAATGCTAAAGGAACTTCTCTAGACAAAAACACAAGAGAAGGAAAAGTCCTATAATAACGAACCCAAAACAATTTAGAAAATGGGAATAGGAACATACATATCGATAATTACCTTAAATGTAAATGGACTAAATGCTCCCACCAAAAGACACAGATTGGCTGAATGGATACAAAAACAAGACCCATATATATGCTGTCTACAAGAGACCCACTTCAGACCTAGAGACACATACAGACTGAAAGTAAGGGGATGGAAAAAGATATTCCATGCAAATGGAAATCAAAAGAAAGCTGGAGTAGCAATTCTCATAGCAGACAAAATAGACTTTAAAATAAAGACTATTAGAAGAGATAAAGAAGGACACCACATAATGATCAAGGAATCAATTCAAGAAGAAGATATAACAATTGTAAATATTGAGGTACCCAACATAGGAGCACCTCAATACATAAGGCAAATACTAACAGCCATAAAAGGGGAAATCAACAGTAACACATTCATAGTAGAGGACGTTAACACCCCACTTTCACCAATGGACAGATCATCCAAAATGAAAATAAATAAGGAAACACAAGCTTTACATGATACATTAAACAAGATGGACTTAATTGATATTTATAGGACATTCCATCCAAAAACAACAGAATACACATTTTTCTCAAGTGCTCATGGAACATTCTCCAGGATAGATCATATCTTGGGTCACAAATCAAGCCTTGGTAAATTTAAGAAAATTGAAATTGTATCAAGTATCTTTTCCGACCACAACACTATGAGACTAGATATCAATTACAGGAAAAGATCTGTAAAAAATACAAACACATGGAGACTAAACAGTACACTACTTAATAACAAAGTGATCAGTGAAGAAATCAAAGAGGAAATAAAATAATACATAGAAACCAATGACAATGGAGATACAACGACCCAAAACCTATGGGATGCAGCAAAAGCAGTTCTAAGAGGGAAGTTTATAGCAATACAAGCCCACCTTAAGAAGCAGGAAACATCTCGAATAAACAACCTAACCTTGCACCTCAAGCAATTAGAGAAAGAAGAACAAAAAAACCCCAGAGTTAGCAGAAGGAAAGAAATCATAAAAATCAGATCAGAAATAAATGAAAAAGAAATGAAGGAAACAATAGCAAAGATCAATAAAACTAAAAGCTGGTTCTTTGAGAAGATAAACAAAATAGATAAACCATTAGCCAGACTCATCAAGAAAAAAAGGGAGAAGACTCAAATCAATAGAATCAGAAATGAAAAAGGAGAAGTAACAACTGACACTGCAGAAATACAAAAAATCATGAGGGATTACTACAAGCAACTCTATGCCAATAAAATGGACAATCTGGAAGAAATGGACAAATTCTTAGAAATGCACAAACTGCCAAGACTGAATCAGGAAGAAATAGAAAATATGAACAGACCAATCACAAACACTGAAATTGAAACTGTGATTAAAAATCTTCCAACAAACAAAAGCCCAGGACCAGATGGCTTCACAGGCGAATTCTATCAAACATTTAGAGAAGAGCTAACACCTATCCTTCTCAAACTCTTCCAAAATATAGCAGAGGGAGGAACACTCCCAAACTCATTCTACGAGGCCACCATCACCTTGATACCAAAACCAGACAAGGATGTCACAAAGAAAGAAAACTACAGGCCAATATCACTGATGAACATAGATGCAAAAATCCTCAACAAAATACTAGCAAACAGAATCCAACAGCACATTAAAAGGATCATACACCATGATCAAGTGGGGTTTATTCCAGGAATGCAAGGATTCTTCAATATACGCAAATCTATCAATGTGATACACCATATTAACAAATCGAAGGAGAAAAACCATATGATCATCTCAATAGATGCAGAGGAAGCTTTCGACTAAATTCAACACCCATTTATGATAAAAACTCTCCAGAAAGTAGGCATAGAGGGAACTTTCCTCAACATAATAAAGGCCATATATGACAAACCCACAGCCAACATCGTCCTCAATGGTGAAAAACTGAAAGCATTTCTACTAAGATCAGGAACAAGACAAGGTTGCCCACTCTCACCACTATTATTCAACATAGTTTTGGAAGTTTTAGCCACAGCAATCAGAGAAGAAAAGGAAATAAAAGGAATCCAAATCAGAAAAGAAGAAGTAAAGCTGCCACTGTTTTCAGATGACATGATACTATACATATAGAATCCTAAAGATGATACCAGAAAACTAGTAGAGCTAATCAATGAATTTGGTAAAGTAGCAGGATACAAAATTAATGTACAGAAATCTCTGGTGTTCCTATACACTAATAATGAAAAACCTGAAAGTGAAATCAAGAACACACTCCCATTTACCACTGCAACAAAAAGAATAAAATATCTAGGAATAAACCTACCTAAGGAGACAAAAGACCTGTATGCAGAGAATTTTAGACACTGATGAAAGAAATTAAAGATGATACAAATAGATGGAGAGATATACCATGTTTTTGGATTGGAAGAATCAACATTGTGAAAATGACTCTACTACCCAAAGCAATCTACAGATTCAGTGCAATCCCTATCAAACTACCACTGGCATTTTTCACAGAACTAGAACAAAAAATTTCACAATTTGTATGGAAACATAAAAGACCCCAAATAGCCAAAGCAACCTTGAGAACAAAAAACGGAGCTGGAGGAATCAGGCTCCATAACTTCAGACTATACTACAAAGCTACAGTAATGAAGACAGTATGGTACTGGCACAAAAACAGAAAAATAGATCAATGGAACAGGACAGAAAGCCCAGAGATAAACCTACGCACATATGGTCACCTTATCTTTGATAAAGGAGGCAAGAATGTACAGTGGAGAAAGGACAGCCTCTTCAATAAGTGGTGCTGGGAAAACTGGACAGGTACATGTAAAAGTATGAGATTAGATCACTCCCTAACACCATACACAAAAATAAGCTCAAAATGGATTAAAGACCTAAATGTAAGGCCAGAAATGTCAAACTCTTAGAGGAAAACATAGGCAGGACACTCTATGACATAAATCACAGCACCTAGAGAAATGGAAATAAAAACAAAAATAAACAAATGGGACCAATGAAACTTCAAAGCTTCTGCACAGCAAAGAAAACCATAAACAAGACCAAACGACAACCCTCAGAATGGAGAAAATATTTGCAAATGAATCAACTGACAAAGGATTAATCTCCAAAATTTATAAGCAGCTCATGCAGCTCAATAACATAAAAACAAACAACCCAATCCAAAAATGGGCAGAAGACCTAAATAGACATTTCTCCAAACAAGATATACAGACTGCCAACAAACACATGAAAGAATGTTTAACATCATTAATCATTAGAGAAATGCAAATCAAAACTACAATGAGATATCATCTCACATCAGTCAGAATGGCCATCATCAAAAAATCTGGAAACAATAAATGCTGGAGAGGGTGTGGGGAAAAGGGAACACTCTTGCACTGCTGGTGGGAATGTGAATTGGTACAGCCACTAAGGAGAACAGTACGGAGGTTCCTTAAAAAACTAAAAACAGAACTACCATATGACACAGCAATCCCACTACTGGGCATATACCCTGAGAAAACCATCATTCAAAAAGTGTCATGTACCAAAATGTTCATTGCAGCTCTATTTACAATAGCCAGGACATGGAAACAACCAAAGTGTCCATCAACACATGAATGGATAAAGAAGATGTGGCACATATAGTCAATGGAATATTACTCAGCCATAAAAAGAAATGAAATTGAGCTATTTGTAATGAGGTGGATAGACCTAGAGTCTGTCATACAGAGTGAAGTAAGTCATAAAGAGAAAGACAAATACTGTATGCTAACACATATATATGGAATTTAAGAAAAAAAAATGTCATGAAGAACCTAGGGGTAAGTCAGGAATAAAGACACAGACCTACTAGAAAATGGACTTGAGGATATGGGGAGGGGGAAGTGTAAGCTGGGACAAAGCGATAGAGAGGCATGGACATATATACACTACCAAATATAAAGTAGATAGCTAGTGGGAAGCAGCCGCATAGCACAGGGAGATCAGCTCGGTACTTTGTTACCGCCTGGAGGGGTGGGATAGGGAGGGAGATGCAAGAGGGAAGAGATATGGGAGCATATGTATATGTATAACTGATTCACTTTGTTATAAAGCAGAAACTAACACACCACTGTAAAGCAATTATACTCTAATAAAGATGTAAAAAAAAAAAAAAAAAAAGAAGCATAAGGACTTCCCTGGTGGTGCAGTGGTTAAGAATCCGCCTGCCAATGCAGGGGACACAGGTTCGATCCCTGGTCCGGGAAGATCCCACATGCCATGGAGCAACTAAGCCTATGCACCACAACTACTGAGCCTGTGCTCTAGATCCTGCGAACCAGAACTACTGAGCCTGCGCTCTAGAGCCCATGAGCCACGACTACTGAGCCCGCTTGTCACAACTACTGCAGCCCGTGTGCCTAGAGCCTGTGCTCTGCAACAAAGAGAAGCCACCGCAATGAGAAGCCCACGCACCACAACAAAGACCCAACACAGCCAAAAAATAAATAAATAAATTTATAAAAGAAAAATATAAAGAAGCATATTTAACACTAAAAAAACAAAAAAAACCATAACAATTTATATTAATCTTGTTCCTTAGGAGGAAAATAATTTGCTTACACTTTCCATTTCTTTCATCTTTTCTTGTGTCCGTTCAGTTTCTTTTTTCAGTTGACTTATCTCCTGTTCATTTTGTAGTGTTATAAACTCTTTTTCTCGAAGCTGTTCTTTGGCATTTTGCAATTTTTCATTCAAACCTTCTATCTGAATTTTAAACAGAGCAATGTTAATGTAACTAAAGAAAAATAATTCTTCAGTCATAACTGCAATCCAAGTAAGTCAGATTTTAAACATGTATATCTAAAATAGCAAAAATTTAAAAATGTTTTTCTTTTCTTTTTTATTTTAGAAGAGAGTGAGTTTATTAGAACAAAGAGCCAAAAATATGTGTTTCTTAAGACGACAACCATAACTTTGACACAAGCATCAGAATTCTTGTGCCTAATAAAATGCTTATATGTATACCTAAAATATACTAAAAGAGGTGAAAGTCTCAATCACATTTTTATAAGAAAGGAAAATAAAGGTACGTTAAAACAACACACATTACATGGTCTTCAAAATAATTTTACAGGCAATTATCTGCATGAGGTAAAAAATACAATTAGTGAAAACAAACTCCCCTTCTTTACTATGTTCCTTCCTTAGAGGCAGCCACAGTTAACAGAATTACTTGCAAATCCTTCCAGAGATATTTTATACATATTCAGATATGCACACATTATAATAAATATGTGAACACGTTGACATACAAAAAAAAATACATTCAAAATAACATTAAAAGGGTAAGCACCAGAAGCTGGGGAGTCAGAGAAAAGGAGAAATGTTCGTGGAAGGGTACAAAGTTTCAGTTAGGCAGGATGAATAAATTCTGGAGATACAATGTATGGCACAGTGAATGACTGTAATTAGTAATAATATGTTGTATACTTGATAAGTGTTCTCATAAAAAAAAAGTATATGAGGTTGTAGATATGTTAATTAGTTTGATTACTGTAATTATGTCATAATGTATGTGTACATTAAAACATGTTGTACATCTTAAATATATGCCATTTTTTGTCAATTATACCTCAATAAAGCTGGGGAAAAAACTGAGAAGAAAATGAATATAACATAGGATGTACAAGATAATTAAAATTATGCAGTATTGGGAATTCCCTGGCAGTCCTGTGGTTAGGACTCCATGCTCTCACTGCCAAGGGTCCAGGTTCAACCCCTGGTTGGGGAACTAAGATCCCACAAGCTACGCAGCACAGTGAAAAAACAATAAATTAATAAATAAATAAATAAAGTAAAATAATACAGTATTTTTATTGTTTGTATTCTATTAAAAAGCTGTATTATGTGAATAACAGATGCTTACAGTTAAGGAGTTATTTTTTTTAAACAATTTAAGACACGTAATTTTTAATAATTTACCTGTTTGTTGCTTTCTTTAAGTTCCAATTCTGATTTCTCCAGAGTACCCTCTAATTTAATTATTTTCTGTTCCATTTCTCCCCTGTACTCACGAATAGTCATATCCAAATGTGTTACCTAAGTACAAAAGCAACATTAAGCTGTCACTCAATTTTATTCTAACATGGAAAACTGTGTGCTTGGAATGTGATTTAGAATTGTTTACAGTGGGTATAACTAAAGAATAAATGCATCTCAAATAAATTATTAAAAAGAATGAGATAGGGGCTTCCCTGGTGGTGCAGTGGTTGAGAGTCCACCTGCCGATGCAGGGGCCATGGGTTCGTGCCCCGGTCTGGGAGAATCCCACATGCCGTGGAGTGGCTGGGCCCATAGGCCATGGCTGCTGAGCCTGCATGTCTGGAGCCTGTGCTCCGCAATGAGAGAAGCCACGACAGTGAGAGGCCCCTGTACCGCAAAAAAAAAAAAAAAAAAAAAAAGAATGAGACAAATAATCATTCCTTAATAATACTGGATCTTGAGCCTGATACATGATTATGTTCACATAAGTGACAAATAAAATGATTCAAACTTCATTTTATGCTTGATAAAAGCTGCTAGGGCTTCCCTGGTGGTGCAGTGGTTAAGAATCCACCTGCCAATACAGGGGACATGGATTCTATCCCTGGTCCGGGAAGATCCCACATGCTGCGGAGCAACTAAGTCTGTGCACCACAACTACTGAGCCTGCACTCTAGAGCCCGCGTGCCAAAACTACTGAATCCACGTGCTGCAACTACTGAAGCCCACGCACCTAGAGCCCGTGCTCCACAGCAAAGAGAAGCAACCGCAATAAGAAGCCCGTGCACTGCAACCAAGAGTAGCTCCCGCTCGCCACAACTAAAGAAAGCCCACACGCAGCAATAAAGACCAAATGTAGCCCCCCAAAATCAATAAAATTTAAGAGAAAAAAAAAGCTGCTAAATAACAATGCAACATGAAAATTGTGGGATGCAGCAAAAGCACTGCTTGGAGGAACATCTAAAGCATTGAATGCATATATTAGAAAAGAAGAAAGGGGCTTCCCTGGTGGTGCAGTGGTTGAGAGTCCGCCTGTGGATGCAGGGGACACGGGTTCATGCCCCGGTCTGGGAAGATCCCACATGCCGCAGAGCGGCTGGGCCCGTGAGCCATGGCCGCTGAGCCTGCGCGTCTGGAGCCTGTGCTCCTCAACGGGAGAGGCCACAACAGTGAGAGGCCTGCATACCACAAAAGAAAAAAAAAAAAGAAGGCCTAAAATCAGTCATCTAAGCTTCCACCTTGGGTAACTAGAAAAGGAAGAGCAAATTAAATCCAAACTAAGCAGAAGAAAAAAATAATAAAAATTAGAGCAGAACTCAATGAAATTAAAATTGGGAAATCAATAGAGAAAATCAACAAAGCCAAAAGCTGGTTCTTTGAAAAGATCAATAATATAAATAAGTCTCCAGCCAGACTAACTTAAAAAAAAAAAAAAAAAAAGAGGATATAAATTGCTAATATGAGAAACGAAAGAGGAGATATTACTACAAATCTCAAGGACATTAAAAGGATAATAGAGAAATATTAAAAACAACTCTCTGCCCATGAATTTAATAAAACCAGATGAAATAGACGAGTTACTCGAAAGGCACAATCTGCCAAAACTCACACAAGAAGAGAGAATCTGAATAAGGCTATATCTATTAAAGAAATTCAATCAATGATTAATAACTTTCCGAAACAGAAAGCACCAGACTCAGATGGATTCATTGCTGAATTCTACCAGACATTTAAGGAAGAAATTATACTAATTCTCTACACTCTCACTTAGTAGATAGAAGCAGAGGAAATACTAACTCATTCTCTGAGGCCAGCATTACCCTGATACCAAAACCAGACAGAGACATTATAAAGAAAGAAAACTACAGACCAGTATCTTTCATGGACATAGATATAAAAATTCTCAATAAAATATTATTGAATCATACCCAACGATGTATAAAAAGAACTATACACCACAACAAGCGGGATTTTTTCTAGGTATGAAAGGCTTTTTCAACATCTGAAAATTAATTAATGTAACTGATCACATCAATAGGCTAAAGAAGAAAATCACATGATCATATTAATAGATGCAGAAAAAAACATTTGACAAAATCCAACATCTATTCATGATAAAAACTCTTGGTAAACTAGGAATAGAGAGTAACTACCTCAACTTGATAAAGAATATCTAAAAAAACCAACAGCTAACATCACACTTAACAGTGAGAAACTCAAAGTTTTCCCATTAAGATCAGATACAAGGCAAAGATATTCCACTTCTTTTCAACATTGTACAGGATGTCCTAGCTAATGCAGTAAGACAAGAAAAGGAAGTAAAAGGTATACAGGCTGGGAACGAAGACATAAAACTGTCTTTGTTTGCAGATGACAAGATGATTTAGGTAGAAAATCCAAAGGATTTGACAAAAAAATTCCTGGAACTAATAAGTGATTATAGCAGGTTGCAGGATACAAGGTTAATACACAAAAATCAATTGCTTTCCCATGTACCAACAATGAACAAGAGAAATTTGAAGTTAAAAACAAAATTATCATTTATATTAGCATTCTCCAAAATGAAATAGTTATAAATCTAAACATATTCAAGATCTATATATGGAAAACTATAAAACTCCAATGAAAGAAATCCAAGAATTATATAAATGGAGAGAGAGTTCACGTTCATGGATAGGAAGACTTAATATTGTCAAGATGTCAGTTCTTCCCAGCTTGATGTATAGATTCAAGGCAATGCCAATCAAAATCCCAGCAAGTTATTTTGTGGATATCAACAAACCGGTTCTAAAGTTTATAGGGAGAGGCAAAAAACCCAGAAGAGCCAACACAATTTTGAAAAAGAACAAAGTTGGAACACTGACATTACTCAACTTCAAGACTTACTAAAAAGGTACAGTAATCAAGACAGTGTGGTACTGATGAAAGAATAGGTGAATAAAATCAATGGAACAGAAGAGACCAGAAACAAACCCATGTAAATATAGTCGACTGACCTTTGACAAAGGAGCAAAGGCAATACAAGATGTCCTTCAATAGGTAAATGGATAAATAAACCATAATATATCCAGGCAATGGAATACTATTCCATGCTAAAAAGAAATAAGCTTTGAAAAGACACGGAGGAAACTTAAATGCATATTACTAAGTGAAAGAAGCCAATCTGAAAAGGCTACAATACAATATGATTCTAACTGTATGACATTCTGGAAAAGGCAAAACTACAAAGACAGCAAAAAGATCAGTGGTTGCCAGGGTTGGGATAAGAGGGAGAAGGATGAATAGGTGGGGCACAGAGGATTTTTAGGGCAGTGAAAATATTCTGAATGATACCATAATGATGCATAGCTGTCCAAACTCCTAGAATGTATAACACAAAAGTAAACTGTAATGTAAACTATGGACTTTGGGTGATTATGAAGTGTCAATGTATCAACAGGTTCATCAGCTTTAACAAATGTACCATTCTGGCAGGGAATGTTGATAATGCGGAAGGCTGTGCATCTGTGGGGGTGGGGGGTTTACAGGAAATCTCTCTACCTGCTGCTCAATTTTGCTGAGAACCTAAAACTGCTCTAAAAAATAAAGTCTAAAAAAGATGCTGCTAAATAATGCCTTCTGAATATTTTTGTTCCTCCAATAAATACTAGCTGAGCAAGTAACTCCTTTAATCCCATTTTCTTCTGATATACAGTATTATAAGAGATCAAAAGGTTCAGATACTAAGCTAACCTTCATTCCTGAAAATCCACCTGCTATAAAAATAGCAAGATAAAGAGAAACAACATATTTCTAATTTTAAAAGTATTTATGTGCACAGAAAAAAGAAATAGCTATAAAGGGACTTCCCTGGTGGCACAGTGGTTAAGAATCTGCCTGCCAATGCAGGGGACATGGGTTCGAGCCCTGGTCCGGGAAGATCCCACATGCTGCACAGCAACTAAGCCCACGAGCCACAACTACTGAGCCCATGCACGACTGAAGCCCACATGCCTAGAGCCCGTGCTCCACAACGAGAAGCCACCTCAATGAGAAGCGCACACACAGCAATGAAGAGTAGAGAAAGCCTGCTCATAGCAACAAAGACCTAACACAAAATAAATAAATGAATTTTTTTAAAAAGCTATAAAAATGTCTATTTTGCCAAAAAGAGGGGACCTCTGAAACCTTGTGCAACTGCATTTTAACAGAAAATTTCATTAAAATATAGTTAAAAAAAATATATATATATATAGTTAAGAAAACCAACTTGAGCTGCTCTTTGCTTTAGCTCCCAATTTCTCTCCTTAAGTGCCTGATCCATTTCAAGGAGTTCTTGCTTTTTGTCTTCAATCTCCATCTTGCATTCCCTGCAATTTATCAAAGTGAAAAAGATCTAAGCAAATAAATAGGAATATTATAGTTTCAAAAAAATTAAATCAAGTGGGTTACCTTTCCTGTAAGTTAAAAGTGATAAGATATATTCAACTATTTCAGATTGAGAGCTCACATTAAAGGAATAATGTATAAAGAAAATGACTGATATCAATGCAACTACTTTAACAGAGTGTTCTAAAAAGGCAAAAGTTAACTCAGATTCTACTATTGGAGACAATTTAAGCTAAATGTTAAAAGCACTACCAGGGAATAAGATTGAATCAGTATAAGAATTTTAAAAATATATCTATATTTTTTCATCTATAGATCAAAGGAGTGTTTGAAAGTCTTTTATATATAATAGCTGTGAGTTCACTATAACTGAACGAGGCATTTATCTCATGATTGATGTCCCTGATATCCAAAGCTCAGTAAACGACCACTGTATTTCTTATGGGAATTTTTTTTTAACATCTTTATTGGAATATAATTGCTTTACGATGGTGTGTTAGCTTCTGCTTTATAACAAAGTGACTCAGTTATACATATACATATGTTCCCATATCTCTTCCCTCTTGCGTCTCCCTCCCTCCCACCCTCCCTATCCCACCCCTCTAGATGGTCACAAACCACAGAGCTGATCTCCCTGTGCTATGCAGCTACTTCCCACTAGCTATCTACCTTACATTTGGTAGTGTATATATGTCCATGCCACTCTCTTTGTCACAGCTTACCCTTCCCCCTCCCCATATCCTCAAGTCCATTCTCTAGTAGGTCTGTGTCTTTATTCCTGTCTTACCCCTAGGTTCTTCATGACCTTTTTTTTTTCCTTAGATTCCATATATATGTGTTAGCATACAGTATTTGTTTTTCTCTTTCTGACTTACTTCACTCTGTATGACAGGCTCTAGGTCCATTCACCTCACTACAAATAACTCACTTTTGTTTCTTTTTATGGCTGAGTAATATTCCATTGTATATATGTGCCACATCTTCTTTATCCATTCATGTGTTGATGGACACTTAGGTTGCTTCCATGTCCTGGCTATCGTAAATAGAGCTGCAATGAACATTTTGGTACATGACTCTTTTTGAATGATGGTTTTCTCAGGGTATATGCCCAGTAGTAGGATTGCTGGGTCATATGGTAGTTCTATTTTTAGTTTTTTAAGGAACCTCCATACTGTTCTCCATAGTGGCTATATAAATTTACATTCCCACCAACAGTGCAAGAGGGTTCCCTTTTTTCCACAACTACTCCAGCATTTACTGTTTACAGATTTTTTGATGATGGCCATTCTGAACCCGTGTGAGATGATATCTCATTGTAATTTTGATTTGCATTCCTCTAATGATTAATGATGTTGAGCATTCTTTCATGTGTTTGCTGGCAATCGTATATCTTCTTTGGAGAAATGTCTATTTAGGTCTTCTGCCCATTTTTGGATTGAGTTGTTTTTTTTGATATTGAGCTGCATGAGCTGCTTGTAAATTTTGGAGATTAATCCTTTGTCAGTTGCTTCATTTGCAAGTATTTTCTCCCATTCTGAACGTTGTCTTTTTGTCTTGTTTATGGTTTCCTTTGCTGTGCAAAAGCTTTTAAGTTTCATTAGGTCCTATCTGTTTATTTTTGTTTTTATTTCCATTTCTCTAGGAGGTGGGTCAAAAAGGATCTTGCTGTGATTTATGTCATAGAGTGTTCTCCCTATGTTTTCCTCTAAGAGTTTGATAGTGTCTGGCCTTACCATTTAGGTCTTTAATCCATTTTGAGTTTATTTTTGTGTATGGTGTTAGAGAGTGTTCCAATTTCATACTTTTAAATGTACCTGTCCAGTTTTCCCAGCACCACTTATTGAAGAGGCTGTCCTTTCTCCACTGTATATTCTTGCCTCCTTTATCAAAGATAAGGTGACCATATGTGCGTGAGTTTATCTCTGGCTTTCTCAGATTCTACTATTGGAGACAATCTAAGCTAAATGTTAAAAGGACTACCAGGGAATAAGACTGAATCAGTATAAGAATTTAAAAAATATATCTATATTTTTTCATCTATAGATAAAAGGAGTGTTTGAAAGTCTTTTATATATAATAGCTGTGAGTTCACTATAACTGAACGAGGCATTTATCTCATGACTGATGTCCCTGATATCCAAAGCTCAGTAAACGACCACTGTATTTCTTATGGAAATTTTACTCAAAACGACACCTTACATTTAGTGAAGTATTGAAGTCTAATATAGAAATATTTTAAATGTATTTTTTATAAATTCTAGCCCTCTTAAAACACTAACTTATGAATAATTTTATATATAAAAAATGCTTAAAATGACACAATTTTAATATTTATATCACTCTGAAGCCTCTGATCAGAGAATTTTAATTTCGAACTCTAAGTTCTGATATCACAAAGGATGAAAATGTTGTTGATCTTGAATCTTCATATGATTTTCCAATCTTAAATATGAAACAATAAAGGTACTGACTTTAAAAAGCAGATTCTGAACTTCTTTAATGAGATGTTTACTGTTCTCCTAAAAGCCTGAAGAGTTCATCCAAGGCTAAACTTATATTCTAAAAGTAATATGAAATGAATTCTAAAGATAGCTCTAATTGCTGTCTATATGAATAACTGTGCTTCCAAAATTCAGCTACTAGCTAGAATTTTAAGTTTTGTTTTACTACTTTTATCCATTCATTCCCTTAATCATTTAGCAAATATTTATTGGATGTTTCTTATATGTCAAGGTTCTATGTACTGTGGAATTAATAGGCAACAGGATAGATGTTGTTCATTGCATAGAGCTTACATTCTACTAGGTCAAGAGATGGACTATAAATAATAAACAACTCAACATGAAAAATATAATATAAAGTGCTATGTTAGAACATTAAATACAGTGATGAGATCGTGACTGGGAGGCTATGTTAGAATAGGTGGTCAGGGAAGGGCCCTTTGAGGTAACGTGAAGGGTATGAAGAAGCTGGCCATATAACCATTATTTCAGGCCAAAGAAACAGCTATGACAAAAGTCCTAAGGTGGGAAAAAACCTGGTAAACTTTAAGTACAATAAAAAAGCCAGGAGCAAGCAGAACAATATGAAATGAGGCCAGAGAAGCAGGCAGGAACCTTGGGCTTTGTATTACAAGAAAAGGAGCTTGTAATTTTTCTTTTTTTGGTTGTGGTAAAATACATATAACATAAGATTTAGCATTTTAACCACTTTAAAGTGTACAATGCAGTTACACTAAGTACATTCACAATGTTGTGTAACCATTACCACTATTTCTAGTACTTTTTCATCATTCTGAATGGAAACCCCATATCCATTAGCAGTTTTTTTCCATTCTCCCTTCCCCCAGTCCCTGGCAACAATTAATCTGCTTTCTATCTCTATGGATTTGCTAATTCTGGATATTTCATATAAATGGAGTTATGCAACGTATATGTGCTTTCTTTCATTTAGCATAATATTTTCAAGGTTCATCCATGTTGTAGCATGTTTCAGTACTCTATTCCTTTTCATGGCTGATTAATATTCCTTGTATGGATACACCACACTGTGTTTATCCATTCACAACTATCAGTGTCCAGCTGTGTCGTTTCCACTTATTGGTTATTGGGAATAGCCGTACTATGAACATTTGTGCAAGATTTTTGTTTGAACACCTGTTTTCAATTCTTTTGGGTACTTACCTAGGAGTGAAATTACTGAGTTATATGGTTAATGTATGTTTAAGTTATTGAGGAACTGCCACACTGTTTTCCACAGAGGCTGTAACCATTTTAGTTTACCATTTGTTATTTTCTGCTTGGATTTTTTTTTTTTTTTGAGGTACGCAGGCCTCTCACTGCTGTGGCCTCTCCTGTTGCAGAGCACAGGCTCCAGATGTGCAGGCTCAGCGGCCATGGCTCATGGGTCCAGCCGCTCTGCGGCATGTGGGATCTTCCTGGACCAGGGCATGAATCCGTGTCCCCTGCATCAGCAGGCAGATTCTCAACCACTGCGCCACCAGGGAAGCCCTTCTGCTTGGATTTTTTTTGTTTGTTTTTATTATGGCCATCTTAGTGGGATTGAAGTGGTATCTCATTGTGGTTTTGATTTACATTTCCCAAGGAGCTTGGTTATTATTCTGAATCTTTTGGGAAGCCATCAGAAGATTAAGTAGGGAAGCAATATGATCTGATTTATGTTTTGAATCATAAACTTAAATCAATTCTGTGGAGAATGAATTGTGGGGAAGGTCAAGAATTTAAGCTGGTAGACCAGGTGGGAAGCCACAGCAACAGACCAGGTGAGAGATGATGATGGCTTGTGCTAAGGTGGTAGTAGAAAAAATAAGAAATCAATAGATTTCAGAATATGTTTTAGAAATAAAGTTGACATGACTTGCTAATAGACTGGATGAAAAAAGGGAAGGAAAGAGATAAAAATAATCTTATAGATTTCTGGTTTAAGCAACTGCATAATAATGAGATGGAGGAAGGGCAGGATTATGAGTAAAAAAAAAGAATTTTTTTAGCCACGTTTAAGATGCCTCTTTAAAATACGTCAGTGGAGATAACAAATAGGTCATTAGATATGAGTCTGGAGTTTGGAGAAGAGGTCTTTCTAGAGATATGGGTTTGGAAGTCTCTGACACATAGTATTTAAAGCTACGTGAAATTTACCAAGAATGAATTTGTGGGTAGAAAAGAGAAGGGGTCCTGCTCTGAACCACAGGTTACAATATCTAAGATTCTGGGTCACCTTGCTACTCTCTATCCTGTTCTTTCATTACACATTTCACATCCTGGTCTGTTTTCCTTTTCAGAATCCATTTCCTACACTTTGGCTCCAGTCTGGCTCTCCACCCCTACTCACCACAGATGTGTACTGGAACAGCATTTTATGCTATTGCTGCTAATCCAAGAACCCAGATTTTAGAGTTGGACAACTGTGTTTCACTCCCCTCTCTGGACCCTACTATCTGACTTTGGGCATTTTACTTAATTTTCTCAAGCCTCAGTTTTCTCAAGCGTAAAAAGGTGATAATAAGCAACTCATAGGTTTGTTGTAAAGAAATGATTGAGATCATATATGAAGTCCCTGCCATAGTCCTGGCACAAAATTAGGGCTTAACACAAAGAACAACATTGTTATTGTTAATATTATTTTTCTATTCATCACTGCTGTATGCTGGTCCAATCATTTTTTACCACTAATACAGGAGAGGGCCAATGTAAAATGGTCCAAAGAACAAGGATGGAAGTATTAGCCAACAGCAACAGCTATATTAGTGAGATGGAGCTTGGGATGAACTGTCTAGGATGAGACACAGTGAGCTAAAGGCAGTTGAGAAGTTTGGACATCTAGAATTCAACAACAACTCTATAGTATGACGCAAGGACTAAGGGTAATAAAGTGAAATACCTGTAACTGTGATATCATTTTTTAGTATTTAGCTCACCTAAGTTCAGCTGTGAGATCCGTTATAGTAGTGTATTTTTCCTCTAATGACAATTGAGCCTTCTGTAGAACATCTCTCAATTCCTGGAGTTGTCTTAAAGTACTCTTTAATTCTCCATGAGCATTTTGTAGTTCAGTCTCTAGTACTTCCCGTTTCTGCAAGGCTTCTGTTAGTTCAGTTTCAGTGTGGTGCTGTAACTTTTCTAACTCCTTCACTGTTAAAAGCAGAGAATAATTTTAGAATTATATATATAAACTACTTGTTATTCAGAAATTTGTAAGCAATTATAATTAAGAATATCCAATTTTATTCATCTATAAGAGGCAAAATACCACTGATTGTCCCTTCCCCGTCATCTCAAATTCTCACTTTATTCCATTTCTTTAAATATACAGATGCAGGCAGCTAAGCTGAGCTAACTTGTTGCTTACCAGCGTTTGTCTTCTTATCTAGTTCTGTCTTTGTCTGTTCTAATATCACATCTAACTGAGAGAGATGCATTGCTTTATTTTCTCCATCTCGTTTTAGGTGCTTTATTTCTTTTTCCATTTTATACAGTTCTTCTTTGTAGTGATCCATCTCAAGTTTTACTTGCCTAATTAAAAACAAAAAATAATTTGGGAACTTAAAAATAAACTAACTTATCTCTGAACAAAGTCTGCAAGTTATATAAAGACAAATATCAGCAAAATGTCTAGTCACCGTGGGATGAATTGGGAGATTGGGATTAGGATTGACATATATACACTATATATGACATATATACACTAATATGTATAAAATGGATAACTAATAAAAACCTGCTGTATAAAAAAAAGTCTAGTCAGAATCTTAAATCACCTATTATATTGTTAAAAATGCTCCAACTAATAGATTGTAATTCTGTACCAACTACATGCCACTAAACACAACTATATGATGTATTTACCTAGTACACTACCTGGCACACAAAAGGTGCTCAATGAATTTGTTTTCTTTCTATTTGGAGATATTTTAATTTTTTTTTAAGATTTTTTTTTTTTTGATGTGGACCATTTTTAAAGTCTTTATTGAATTTGTTACAATATTGCTTCTGTTTTATGTTTTGGCTTTTTGGCCGCAAGGCATGTGGGATCTTAGCTCCGTGACAAGGGATGAACCCACACTCCCTGCACTGGAAGGCAAGGTCTTAACCACTGGACCACCAGGGAAATCCCTGAGATATTTTAGTTTTAAAACAGATCCAAGGAGATATATAACAGATATATTTTAACTCTAAACCCTTTTGGGAGAGAAAAACAGTTTTATAAATTATAGTTTCAGAAGTGAAAGAAGCAATAGTTGGAACAGAGAAAAACCCTGCTTCACGAAGAGAAGATCTTGGAACTAGATATATCTTTCTTATGAAGTTTATTCATCTAGTTCATAAGCTTCCTACTAGTAATTAGAACTTATTTTACCCACTGAATGTGCCTATTAGCTATAATTAAGAAGAGTTTTTGTCTAGAAGTCAAAGGGTGGGAGTAAGAAAAGAAAGAAGCAGTTATTTCAATTTTCTTAGTGAACAAAAGCAAGATCATCAGTGAGAGCAAGGATTGGGGAGGGGTTGTTAGAGTTTTGAAAGAAAAGGCAAAGGTGTAAAAGAGTCCTCTACAAGAATAAGTAACATTGTGATTGCCAGACAGACAGCATTAAGAAAATGCTTAAGGTTTTGAAGTTATGGGTATAAAGTAAGACTGGTCACTGTCGTTATATTTTTCTCCAGCCTCTGTAAAGATGCAAGCGTGAATTAGTCTGAGTTGGATTTTTAGTTCTGTGTACCACAAAGTAAGAGAGAGGTAAAGGAGTTGTGGGTTTATGTAAATCAGTGATTTTAATGATTAATTAGAATTTAAGCTAGGTAAAGAGAGGAGAAAGGGCATTAGTGAATGAGACAGTGGTAGAACTGATAGATCAGAGGTCCTAGTTACATCAAAGAATTGTTGAATCGCAGATATTAAAGGGAATGAGGTAATAATATAGAGGTAGATGCATAGTATTCAGATTATGTTGAAATAATGGAGATATCAGAAACGATAAGATCTAGGATAAATCATGTGAGTGAGTGGCTGAGGATCAGCTAGATAGATGTATATTGAAATCCCCAAGAATAAAGACAGGAGTAGTGTTGGAAAGAGCTATGTAAGTCAGGTGGCCTGTAGGTGTCAGCAACAACGAGGGATGATATGATCTGATGACATGAGGTTCATGGTTTATGTCATACTATTTCCCATCTCAATCCTGTGGTACAAGAACTATGGGGAAAAGTTTTTACTTTAGAGAGCTGCAGGGGAAGAAGCAATGTCCTCAGGGGACAGTCACATTTCTGTTACAGCAAGAGAAAAGAAGAGATAGAGAATATAGGGAATGTCTCTCAGGATGGACTGTGAATTCCAGAGGAGAAAGTGAAAATCTTTCACAAGTTCAGATGCGGTGGGAAAAGGGAAGAAAATACATGAGGAGGTTTTGGGGACTTAGTAAGAGAGATGAGGGTAAATCTAACGCCTGGAAATCTGATGCTTCTGTGGCATCTGGCACAAGCAAAAAGTTACTGTTGATTAGTCTTTGTGGAATTAAGGTACACACTGGTGGTAAGGCTGTGTTAGTGGACAGACAACTATCAATGGCAGAAAGAAGGTCTGAAGAACTGTGGTCTTAGTCTTAAACATAGGATATCTTCTTGACCCCACTGAGAGAGTTGAGGATATCTGGGTAAGCAAGTTGCTACTCAAAGCACAAAGGCCCTACCTTTATTCCTGTCAGAGGGGGAGAGGGAGTCTGAGGATGTTGTGGTTTAAGTTCAAATGCATAAGTTAACTCTTATTCCTGTTGGTAGAATGGTGGGCTAATTAAGAGTTTATTATTAATTATGTCAACTCTTGTCAACAAAGTATAAGAGGTCTGGGGAAGCTAGGTATAACTTTCAGCTCATAATTCCCTTTCTTGACCAATTAACTATTGATTTCTTAGCACAGCACAGCCACATTAAATCAGGATTTTTAGAGGTAGGACCTAGGCATCAGTACTTTTTAAAGCTCCTTGGGTGATTTTAATGTTCGGTCAATGTTGAGACCACTGTTTTCTTCTATTAATTTACTCCCTCCCATCAACAGTTAGAATCCATGAAAAATTCCTCTATATGAGTACTTCTTTGCCTGACACTTTCACAATTCAATTTAATAAAACAGCTGCTGAGTGCCTACGAGGTACAAGGAACTATGTTGATTGTTGTGGGAGGACCCTTAAATTAAACCATATATTATCTTGGCCTTAAGGAACTACAATATAGTAGGAGAGCAAAGGATATTAACTTATAATACTAAAAGGCATGAGGGATATGAGGGAGGTGCAAACAATGCTATAGGAACACACACCGTAGAGAAATTAATTCCTCAAGCAAACACTTCACTGAACATTATCTGATAGTGAAACTCAAATATGACTGATGTTAAAGCAGGAAGACAAATATAAACTAACATATTCATTTTACCTGGCAGTACCAGTAAGTTCAATAACTTTTTGCCTTTTTAAATCTGCTTCATATGTGGCTGCTTCACATTTTTCCTCCATTTTTCTCAACTTTTCAGCTGAACTTTCCCTTTGTTTCTGAAGCTCTTGTTCAAGTTTTGATACCTTGTAAAGCAATTTTCAGTTAAGTATTTTAAATTCAAACACAGTTCAACATTTTTCAGAAGAAAAATATTTATATAAATTTGTAGCCTAGCCTATCAGTTTCAAGATGTTATTACAAAAATCAAAGTATAGACCAAGAAACAACGTTTTGAAAATATGAAAGCAAAACAATTTTTAATAAGAAAGATATTTCATTCACATACATATTTATAGAAGTGACCACATCATAACACTAAAATAGGACTTAAAAGAATTGTACAGAATAATGGTAAATGTTCCTCTTTTCATCATCCTTATCTGAAATGTTCTTTCTTCTCTTGTCAAACTATGTTTCTTTCCTTCTTCACAAATTGGCTCATACCAATTCCTAGAATTCCCATCTGCCCTCAAACTTTACAACTTGCATTTGCTCCTATTCATTCCTCCTTCTGTTTTACTACATAGCAGGAGGTATTCTTCCTCCTATATAAGTCAAACTGCTTCATAGGCGTTCTGGATTCAACTCCAATCCACTTTTTAAGGAACCTCATACTACTACCTCTACTCTCTGCTGTATCTTCAATCTCTCTTTCTTCTGGTTTCTTTATATTAGCATTTAAACATGTTCAAGACCTTCCTATCATAAAAAACTTTCCTCCACACCTCTACCTCCTTCCGACTACCACCATTTCTTTCCTCCTCTTTATAGCCCAACTTCTCAGATCTTTTTCTATGCTTGTTGTATCATTTTTCTCACTTTCTCATTCATTCCTCAACCCATAGCAATCTAGACACTGTACAGAAACTACACTGTGTCACCAATGGCTTCCATGCAGCTAATTCCAATGGACATTTCTCAACCCTCAATTTACTTGACACTGATTGCAGCAGCCCATGACACCAATTATCATCCCTTAAGTCATGAAATACTTACTTTGGCTTCCAGGTACTGTATCCTTCAGAGCTCTGTCAAAGTCAGGCATCTCACCCCTCATTCTATGTTCTCTCCCTAAGTTAACCCCAGCCACTTCATTTTTTTTTTTTTTCAATTTTTTTTTTTGGCTGCATTGGGTCTTTGTTGCTGCACGCAGGCTTTCTCTAATGGCAGCGAGCGGGGGCTACTCTTCGTTGCGGTGCACGGGCTTCTAATTGCAGTGGTTTCTCTTGTTGCGGAGCATGGGCTCTAGGCGTGCGGGCTTCAGTAGTTGCAGCATGTGGGCTCAGTAGTTGCAGCAGTGGGCCCTAGAGCACGCAAGCTTCAGTAGTTGCGGCACGTGGGCTCCATAGTTGCGGCGCACAGGCTCTAGGGCACGTAGGCATCAGCAGTTGTGGCTTGTGGGCTCTAGAGCACAGGACTGGTAGTTGTGGCACACGGACTTAGTTGCTCTGTGGAATGTGGGATCTTCCCATACCAGGGATCGAAGCCATGTCCCTTGCATTGGCAGGTGGATTCTTAACCACTGTGCCACCAGGGAAGTCCCACTTCATATTTTCAATGAACATTTACATGACTGTGACCTCAAAGTTAATACCTGGCTAATGACTTTGATATCCTCCCTGCTCTTCTAAAACCTCTCATTGAAGAACTAAGTACAGATTATAAGTAATTAATATCCACACCCCCAACTTAAGCAACTGACAAAGGATTAATCTCCAAAATTTACAAGCAGCTCATGCAGCTCACTAACAAAAAAATAAACAACCCAATCCAAAAATGGGCAGAAGACCTAAATAGCCATTTCTCCGAAGAAGATATACAGACCGCCAACAAACACATGAAAGAATGCTCAACATCATTAACCAAATATAAAATTAAAATAGTACCCAGGTAAAAAGGGAAGGGAACTATGGAAAATCTACCCATTCTGTGTTTGATTAAATGGCACATTCATAAGCAGAAAGAATCTAAAGATAACAATCTGAATAAATCCAACACGGAACCTGTGCATAGTGGAACATGAATAAAAAGTAGAAAAAATATATGCTGGAAAATTTATTCCAAATACTGAAGGAATTTTTAGATATAAACTTCTTTAGAACCTCAAATAAATTAGACAAGACATAAAAATCTCTTAAAACAAAGATCATGAAGAAATAAAATAACCAAATGAAAAATACAAAGGAATTGATAGCCTTAAGGAAAAAAAACTCAGAAGAAAACCATAAGACCATCATAGAAATGAAAACAATTTCAGAAAGAACAAGAATTATAATCAATCTTACAAAAACTGGAGCCAATGATAAGGGATTTAGAAAGAGGGAATCAAGTAACAGATGAGATGAAGAAATGCCTCAGGATGAAGCTGTACAACAGGCACAGCAAACAGTAGGTCTAGACTTGAACAAAAGGGATAGAGAGCCACAGGACAGATGTCTCTAAAAAAGAAAATACAGAATACCTGCCTGATATATTTGAATGTGCAGAGAAGAGATTCTTTAGTTCCACTGGAGAGGCTGAGGATGAAGTTAGAATACACAGATTAAAAAGTCATACAAATGACAAAAAGGTGAGGTGTAGTGAGGTTACTGGGAACTATCATTTTCTAATTTATACTTTTCTGTAAAGTGTGATGAGAGGAAAACAAAACAAAAAATGTGAAATATCTGTCAGAATAATTCAGATGAATTTGGTAATGAATGAAAGAGAAAAGATTCGATTCTAGAATAAAATTTCCTAGGATTCTTTCTTTGGAGTAATAACTTATTTTTTAAAATGAGTAGTTTCCTTTGGGAAAGTAGTAGTTTCCTTTTAGTGCATTGCTTGGCATTTCTTTAGGGATTATCACACATCTCCTGATACAAAATGAAGAAATTGAAAGCTATAATGATTCAGATAGGTATTATATTCAGGTCCAAAAAGGAAAAACTGAATAAAGAAGACTAAATTATAACTAAGTTGGATGGAGTGACAGAAATGTGCCCACGGTATTAACACGATCACATTACATTGGAATAAAACTTTATACATTTTACAATGTTAATTTAGAATATTTCTTATAATATGGTATCTTTGAGGTTAAACAGCAATTTATATAACTAGCAAAAAAATCTATTACCAATTTAAAAAAATTTCTATTTCATAAAACCATTTTGACCAATAATATATACCTGTTTTTCAAGTTTAGCTTGAATGTCTTCTAGCTCTCCATTTCTAATTGTCTCTTGTTGTAACATTTGCTGCTGTTGTTGAAGAGTATGCTGCAGAATAACATTTTGCTCAGTAGTCTCTTGAAGACTGTGGTTTTTAATCTTCAGCTCTTTCTGTAAACAATATACCTAACAAATATATACATTTCTCATTATAATGACATATTTCAAATAAAAAGCAATAAAATGTCAATGTTGTCTACCTTATTAGATAATTACCTTCACTTGTCATATAGGACAATTGTATTCACAGCTATAATTTATTATGTGGAAGGGCAGGGCTCATTTTTCTGATGGGGAGGTATGTTAGAAGGGCCTGTTAATAGGGTTGGTTCTTGGCTGATGTCTGGGAATGTGGCTTTTGAAATATTCCATAAGTGATGAGACTGTTTTCCCTGGCTAGGGCACCAAATCATGCTTTCCTTCTAGGAGTTTGGAATTCTGGTACTTATGGCTGTTCTTATGTGACCAGCCCCCAATAAAAAACCTTGAACTTTGAGTCATAAGCAGGCTTCCCTGGGCAGAAGTACTGCATAAATGTTGCCGCATTTCACTGCTACAGAAAGGAGCTTATTCTGTGTGACTTCTCCCAGAACGAGGGAGAAAACATAGGAAGCCATGGATTTCTTCACACTCCATTTGATATATCTTTTTCTCTTATTGATAACAAACCATAACCATGAAAACATTGTATAAATGTTAGGTGCTATTTAGTATGTTATTGTTGCTATCATTGCCATTGTTTGTAAAATAATATCCCAGCAAGCACTCTTGAATATTCACGCTCCAAAAAACATACAGGAAAACAATACCAACTAAGAAATTGCACTTATTTACTCCAAATATTTAGGACTCGAATATGCTGATCCCCCAAATTGCTTTAAATGAAACCTTTAGAGTTATCTGGGAGAACCTATTAAGAAGGAAAACAAATGCCCTTTGTCCAAGAAATCCAAATCCTAAAAAGTGCCAAAAGAAATCATTTTAAAATTCTATAAATAATACAGCATAATTTCATATATATTTCTTTCTTCTTTTTTTTTTTTTTTTTGCGGTACGCGAGCCTCTCACTGTTGTGGCCTTTCCCGTTGCGTGGCACAGGCTCCGGACGCGCAGGCTCAGTAGTTGTGGCTCCCGGGCCCCGCCCCCCCCCGGGCTTGGGGGTT